ACACAAGTCATAGAAAACACTGCAAACCTGTGGAGTAAGGTTTGGGTCTTTGTGCAGTACACTATATGTGGATGACATACTGAGCAATCCTGGAAGATACTTAGAGCGAGGTAAAAATATCCCAAACAAACTGGAGAATGGGGCAGATGTTCATGGCAGTGTTACTGTACAGAAGAGGCATATTATAAGGGGCTGCTTGGATTGCAATAATGTAAACTTATTATTAATTCAGTTATATTTTAAAAGGTATACAGGTGTTGGTTAGGATATAAAAAAAACAATCAAATTCTAAGATATGATAAAACCTTGTGACATTTCCAGCATTTAGGGTCTATGTTTGATAAATATCCTATCAAAGCAAGTAAAATAATCAGCTTATCACCAACCTTATATAGACCAGTCCTACTATAGGGGAGCTAAGCTGGCAGAGGCATTTTAATAGGACTTACTGCTGTGGTCTTTCTCTGAAGAGGCTTTACCGACTGATTTAGATTTTTGTAAATACAAAAACGAAACACCTAAGTGATCGTTTTTTATAGAAAATCCTAATAATTTCAAGTTTGTGGTAGCCATATAACATGAAGTCAATATCTTAAAGAGAAATCATCTCTTCAAAGTGACTGTTGCAATCCAGAGGCATTTTATTTTAGTGTTTATTTGTTTTTTTCTCCAAGGGTAACACCAATGAACAGCCACTAGGAACAGAAACCCGGAGCTCATATGTGAGCGATGGACAAACCCCCTTCTGCTTCGACTCCAGGTAACACCCTTCTCCCGCTAAAGCCGTCCATGTTTACCATGCCTCAGCTTTACTCCGCTTCTGTAAAGTAGTCAGCAACACCCCCACCCTCCATTTGTGTTGGTATTGTTGACGAGCAGGCCACCCATATCGCATCAAACAGACGTTCTTCATTAGGTACTTTTTGGTTGCTCAACTGCTGTTAATATGAGCCTTCTCTTCCTGTCTCCCTGTTTTTTTTTCCTTCCCCCGCCTCCCGCCGTGACCAGCATGGACATGAAACGTTGTCCGCTCTGCGAGGTTATCTTCCCACCCAACTACGACCAGAGCAAGTTTGAGGAGCATGTGGAGAGCCACTGGAAGAGCTGCCCAATGTGCAGCGAGCAGTTCCCGCTAGACTGCGACCAAAAGGTTTTCGAGAACCACGTGCTCACTCATTTTGATGGCCACCAGCTCAACTTCGACTAAAGGAACTCAAAATCAGCAAATCGACTCTGCAGACTGAAAAAAAATCACTTTAACCTGTCTTCTGCATGTAGTGGTGTACGGCTCCTCTCTGTAGAGCTAATTTACCCTTTGCTTTCTGGATTTTATTTAGCGTGTTTGACAGGGCTTTTAAATCAGTTGCAAATCAATATTTTGGTTTATAGTTTAAATGTGTCCCTTCTTTGCGGGGTTGGAAAGACTTTGGCTGTCTAATTCCATTGATTTTAAAATTTCTTTCATGGATTTGTAACGCTGCTGGGTGGAAAAAGTCAGGGACATAAATAAAAAAAGTTGTGTTTACCAAACATACATTTAACATATGCCCCTCCCCCTTTAGTGTATCTGTACAGCTCATCGATCTGCCGCCATAGAAAGCCGCCTCAGCGCACTATATACAGTCAGGGAGAAATCTTCAGTAACTATACCCACACTAGAATATACAGTATATCATCAGATCATCTATTTTAGAAAGATTCAAGGCAATATTGTGGGCGCCTTTATACTTTGTGTAATATGTCGATTTTCAATTAGCTAAGTTTCCTTATTGTTTTAATTCTAATTGTCTAATCAGTGCATGCTCAGCTTCTGTTCAATTTCATTTACTTTTCTTTTAAGTCATTAAGTTATTTCCTTCATTAGTTAAGTGAGTTTCATGTATCTAAACAAACTAATAAAGTTGCTTTGAAATTGAATGTGTGATAATAATTAATGAGCAGGGGCCTGTTTCAGAAAGGAGGTTAAGTGAAAACTCTGAGTTTGTTAACCTTGAAATGAGGGAAACTCTGGGTTTTCTGTTTCAGAAAGGGAGGTAAGTTAAACCTGAGAAAGCAGAGTAAGTCAAGCCCGTTTCTGAAAGAGAGGTAACTTATACTCAGAGTCAGTTACCATGGGAATTTACTCTGTGAACCTAACCTGGTCGGGAGCAGGTTTTCTTCAGAAAATCCAGAGTTTATTTTGGTCTCCTCCCCTTTTTTAAAGAGGAAGTGGTGTTTAAACACCTCATTGATTCTTTGGGGACATACAGTATTCATTGCACACATTTCAGTCACGTAGAGCGCATCAAAAGGAATGAAATGGCATGTCCTTTTATGGATGATCCTGTTTGTAAAGCCAGGTAGCTACTCTACTCCCATGATGTGCTCAAGGCTTACCTCCTTGAAGTATGTTTTTATATTTCATTTTCAGCTGCTGCCATGTTCTTTTGATGCCTGCAGGATTGCACCTATCCATGAAAACTAAATTAGGTGTAATAAAATACTGTTCTTCCAGTTTCACCTCTGATATTATAACAGTTGGGTAAGTTACTCTAAAATAGTTCTTAATTACTAACTACAAATTTTATCTTCAACAAGTCTAATTAGATTAATGTAATAATTACTGTCTCTAGAAAGTATTGGTCTACTTACTAATTTGTTTTACTTACTTATTAATTACTTTCTAAATCCCAAATCAACCTCAACCACTTGAACAATACAAGGAGAGACAAGAAACTGCACTTCTAATGCTTTCAAATAAACAATATTCAATTGCATGAATTAATCTTAAATTGACCAAAGTGTGTAACTAGAGGGAGAAAGTTCAAATCAAAATATACCTTTTAAAATTTGATATTAAATCCACTATTGTTTTATAGTCTTTAATTTAATTACAGTATTTATATGACTTAAGTAACTTAATTCATTACACCCAACACTGTATAAAAGTAATTAAAATGTAAACTTACGCATTGACTCGAGCAGCTATTTTCACCCAAGCTAACTCTCTCTCCTTCGCCGCTGCAGCCGTGTTGCTTTTTTTTTTTTTTTAATACATGTTCAAATTCTGCATATGCTTGCATAAGCACATCCAGTTCTGCTGGTGAGAAATATGCACACCTTTTTTTGTCTGACGCTGTTGCCATGGTGACTCGTAATATCTGTGCTCCATTGATAATGGCTTTTTATAGTTGTGGTGCACACACTTAACTCAGAGTCAGTCAATTTAGAGTTGATTGAACTAACTCATTTCAGCTGTTCTGAAACCCAAAACTCAGAGTTTCCAATCTCAGGATAAGTCAACTCAGAGTTCAAGTTTTAACTCCGAGTTGGTTGAACTTCCTTATTGAAACAGACCCCAGGAGTCAGAGGTACAGGTGAACTTTTAATGTAAAATATACCAGCAGAAATACAGTACAGCACCACTTCTGGTTGGGTTTATACCTTTTTTTTTTCTTGCTATACAAAAACAGAAAAATAAATGTAACACTTAAAAGGTGACGATACATTCACCGTTCACAATATTCATATACTGACGGTACAATACAGCCACAATCCTTTTGGGGTTTGCAGATCTCTCACAATCTTATGCAGGATGTGCAGATTTTATGCAATGGCACCAGGGAGGTTTGGACGCTGCATTATGCAAACGGAATGGCAACTCATTTATATTCTTATATGAAAATAGAAAGGTTTTGACATGACATGGTTGCATGAACACTGAGTAGGACCGTCGGTGCACAGTTTAGCAGCAACAACAACGACCCTAAGCTCAGAAGGCTGAGGAACAGATTCCAGAGAAGGCCGCTCCTTTCAGACCAAACTCATTTAGAACAAAGCAAAGGATTGCAAAAATGAAAGATATAAGGGAAGGACAGCATCTGATCAGAAACCAGTTGGAACACCAGTGTCAGATGGTTTGAGTTAATTACTGCAAGAAGAAAAGGCGATATTGCAGAAGTTGACCCATCTTGGCTTTTAATTTGTTTTAAAGAAGTTTAACTTTTCCTTTATCTGTTAAAGGGGCCCAAAGCAATAGTTTGGCAGAGCTACTGCTCATACTCAGTCCAGACTATGTAGCTTATAAATTTTAATGAAATATATTTTTCTTTCTTTCCTTTTTTAAAACTCACTCAAAAAGCAAATGAAGCAAAACATATAAAATTGATACTTAACTTTAGGGATTTTCTGGCAGATTATAAATGAACCAGAAGTGCTCTGGTTTATTTATTCATCTTTTTAAATAAAATGTAACATTTATTCAGTAACTAGCTAAGTACTATTAATGGAAAATATACTGGATGAGGTAGAGTGAAATGAAGCCTTTTGCCTTCCCAGAGAACTGGCCTCAACCCTACAGAGTATTGGAAATAACATATATAAATGAACTCTGCAAAAACAGGCATTACTTATCTTGCCAGACTTATAAGGTTGAGGTACAAGAACATATGGAGTTCAGTATCTAAAGCTGCGAGTTTGAGAATTTTATTATTTTTTTCAAATCTTGTGAACCTGTTATTTTTAAGAAAGAAATTGTAAAAAAAAAAAAAAGTTTCCATCCTGGAAAATAAACGAGTGCTTCGAAAAACCAAACATTGTTATTCTGGCATCTTATTGTTTTTCTTTAACCTTTTTCAACCAAAACAGTATCTGACAAAGAGGATGAAGACCAAACAGATAGAAGGGGACATTCATAGCTGTACTTTTTGTTTTTTTAGAAGGGGAAACAATTTAAGGCAATTGCTGAATCTATGGAAAGTGACAATACCTTAGTTTATCCAATAACTAAATCTAGAAAAAAAGAATGATGCAGGGAAAAATTGTCATTTAAGTATTTGTCTGAAAAGTGCTTTGATATTAAAATGGAAAGCTAGGAAGGGCAGCAGCTTAGTCTTAAAGGAAGTCATCAGATATAAAGTAAAAAAACACTTAAAATGTTCTTACATTCCCATTGAAGAACATCGACCCATTTACCTTCAGGAGCTAAAATGCTTGCAGAAAAATCACCTGAGATTATCTTTTGGAGAAATTTTTGTCATATAAAACAAAAAGTCCCTTTTTTAAGACACAGCAACTCACCATCCCTAGTGCAGACACATTTTCCACTTGTATCTGTCCCATTTCATGCCTGCTGTAACAGGGAGGATGACGGTGCTTCCTTTCAACAGAAAACCCAAGCTGTCATTCAGCATAAGGAAGAATGCTATACTGCAAATGTAAGACTACGGTATGCATGTCCTGACCTTTTCTAAAGTCAGCATGATCAACAAAAATAAGTGAAAGAAAAAAGGTCAGCTGAAAGATATCTGACATGTGCAAAAATACAAAATGTAAACTACATAAATATGTAGCTTTTTCAAAGGAAATGATGGTTGATTAATACAAACGTGCTGTGCAATTAAAACACACTAGTGTTGTAACAAAGTGGAATGAAGGCAGAAGAAAACGGCATGCTGCTGCTGCTGATGTGTATTTTAGATGGGGGTTTATATGGCCTGAGGGGTGAAAGTGCTGGTCATCCACTCCGCCTCAGCTACTGTTGGATCTTGCGGAGGACGTCAGAGGAGATGGGTGAGTGAGAGTTGATGGTGTGGTGCCGGAGACCCTGAGATGTCTTGTAACTCTTTCCACAGCGGCACTTGAAAGGTTTGCGCACCCTGATCTGGGTTCGGTGGCCGTTTTTGGCGTGGTACTTGATGCCGTTCACGTTCTGTGATGAGACCAGAATTCTTTTATAGTGCCATCCATTCAGAAATTGCATTATACATGAAAAAAGGTATTACTGAACTATTAAGAGTGCTGAAAATGAAGAACATAGTTTTTTGTTGTTTTTTTTGTTGAAGATTTAAAAAAATGAATGCTGCAATTATTTTAGATACAAATGCAATAGTAAAATAAAAAGTTGAACACATCTTCAAATCACATCCTATTTATCTGTTCCAATGTAGAACTAAACAGCTAGGCTGAATCCGATGTTTCATCGTAGGCAAAAGCAGATATCGTCCACAAATACTTGACATATGAGGTATTGTGTTGCATAATTTCTGGACCAAAAAAAAAATAGAGTCAACAGAAGGCTTGTTCTGCTCCTTAAACAGATGCCTGCTGCTGCCTTAAGCTTTAGTCATTGCCTATAACTCTGTCATTCACGTCAGCAAGGCAATTTTCTCAGGCCTTGAAGAATTTATCCTAACCACACACACCAGATGTGGGCGGAAAATCCTATAAAACTTCATATCAGTGAGGGGAGGCTGGATGTATGCCTTTAGGTTGGTCCACTGCCCAACAAAGAAGCTATTTTCCACACTCTCCCCCTCATTGTCATGTATATAAAACTATAAATATATAAACAGTATACAAATTAAACATTATTCCCAAGTAGCCAGACTAGTGTGCAGAAAGAAATAGAATATAAAATGGAGACCCCCTACATCAAACTGGGAATAACTTTCTAGGGGGGCGGAAGGTGAACAAACTACAGGACTTCCAGATACATACAGGCTGAGGGGTAAATCAAACCAACCGGGCATTGTGGGCTATAAAACGTATTGGAGCTAGAGACAGCCTGGCAGTTGAGCCCTTAGTCATTAGAGCACTTGTGGAGATCACCCCAGCACAGAAAAATGTGTCTCAAAAGGATATCAGGAGAAACATCAGAGACCTGAGTCCAAGTAACAAGACTTCCATGATGTAAAAAAAAAAAAAAATGTTGAAGACTGAAAACCCCATCCCAACCATTAAGTACTGGGTATCAGGATCATGTTGTGGGGTTGTGTTTTTGGGTTAGTAACTGATGCACAGATATGGATGGTAACTAGTTACGTTGACTTGAGTAACTTTTTGAAAAAAAAAAATTGTTTTCAGTAGTCAGTTTACAGACTTGTACGTTTTACTCTTAGTTGAGTAAAAATTCTGGCTAATCTATCTTGTAGTGAGTAACCTCACTTAATAAAAACTAGCATGTTTCGATCAAATACGCATCAATTAGAGATTCCCTTTTTTGTTATTTTCCATTTGCTGAGTCTGCCATGTCATTCGGAGGTTTAGTGAAACTTCATTCAATTTTTTTATTTAATTGAACCTTTTCTACATGCTGTACCTGTTGCTTTTTTAATTTTTTATAAAGAGGGTTCATCACATATTGTGTAATTACTATATGTTATATAACTATCTTTATCGTATTCTTTGAAACACCAGAATATGCATATCACTTAATATTTGGTTCGATTTTACATGATTTTATAAAATATTAAATCAATTGCTATGAGCATGGGTATTAAGTAGATCAATTACTCAGTACTTGAGAAGCCCTTTAACCAAATGTTGTTTTACTACTCGAGTAATTTCTTTAAAAGCAACTTTATCACCAGTGTTGGGCACGTTACTTTGAAAAAGTAATTAGTTATAGTTACTAGTTACTTCTCCTAAAAAGTAACTGAGTTACTAACTGAGTTACTCCACAATAAAAGTAACTAGTTACTAGTAAAAGTAACTATTGCGTTACTTTTACGTTTCTCGCCCCTGTAACCCTCACCACCCAGCCCCCACCTTCTCGCCGTGTGTTTCCAAAGCCAGCTGAATAGAGCGGACGACAAAGACAAGAACCTGCAGAGAGTTTAGCATTTATTGCAACTCAACGTAAATGACATCAGGGGGGAACGCCATGTGAAGTTTTTTAACAGGGCATTCAGATCTGGTTAAATTAATAACTGGGGGTGTGTAATTCTGAAATCCTGTGTGTTTGGGTTGTTATAGATACTGCAACATCTATCTATCCATCTATCTATCTAGATGTATACTCTGTGTGTGACATAAAATATGGATCTCCATCCCTGCCACAAAGGCCATCAAATAATGTTTAAAATAAAAAATACAGTAGGTTGAAAAGGCAGAGTATCCATCCATCCATCCATCCATCCATCCATCCATCCATCCATCCATCCATCCATCCATCCATCCATCTATCCATCCATCCATCCATCCATCCATCCATCCATCCATCCATCCATCCATCCATCCATCCATCCATCCATCCATCCATCCATCCATCCATATTTCTCCCTTTCTCCATATAGGCTATCATTTCTGGCTGTTGTCAGGTTCATTTGATCGTTCACGCTCTCCATAGTTCTCCTGTGGCGCGAGCACAGGGCGACTATTGCGCGCCTTTAGCTAGCATGCGCGTTTCCTGTCGCTTGCGCGGTGACTCGTGCCGCCTGCGCTGTGTGGAGATGCAGGGGAAACCGTATGTGATGGGGAAACGCAGCTCGGCGTAACACCGGTATTTCCATCTGGAAAACGCTGTTTTGCTGCTGGAGTCATCCTCACTCTCCATCTCTCTGTGTGTGCTGTACATTAACACCCGCCAGCAGAAACACCCACCTCCCCAACTGACAGACGGAATCTCATCATACATCAGCCATTCTCATCCTCCCCTCTCTCATGACAAGGCGCGCACCTCTGGAGGACCTAAAAAATAATCTTTAATATCTCTTAAATAAAAGTAGCACAAACAATATTTTTTTCTGCACAAATCTGCACTAACGTTGCACTAACCATTAAGTCTATTTGCAGAGTTTTTTGACGTGGGTGGGGTGTCAGCTTCACGCAGCTGCGCACGAGTCCTATCATGAAAAAAGGTTCATTGTGCGACCTGAGTAACGCGCAGTAACGGGGTGTCTGCAATGGTAACTGCGTTATAGTTACACTCAAAGTAATTAGTTAGATTACTCGTTACTAAAACAAGGTAACGGCGTTAGTAACGCCGTTACTTTCAACGCCGTTAGTCCCATCACTGTTTATCACTAAGATAATTGTTTATTCTAGATGTAAGAAATTGTCTCTTTCAACTGCATAAACATCTAAACAGGCATTCATCTATGGTTTTATATTTCTCTCAGTTATTTAATTGCATTGCATGCAGTAAGGTTTAGTAAAACAAAACCAGATGACTAAAATGCAGCTTCAAGTCTTGATAACAAATGGATAAAACACACCTTATATCTTTTCTTACAGCCAGGAACGGGACAGGCAAAGGGCTTCTCGTCTCCTCCATTCATGCACATAGAGCTCAGGATAGAGTCAGAGCTGATGGCACTCTCTGTGGTCCACGATTCGTCACTATCAGAAGCCTCAAACTCGACATCCTCATCATCACACTCGCTACCTGTGGGAATAAGGAGATTAAAGATAAAAAAGAAGGCAAATATGTCATTAGGATTCAGAGCAACTGATTTGTGCCCATTGAATTCCTTGAGGCATTTAAATCTCAGCCCTTGGGTTTCAGTCTGACAAACACCAACCTTTCTCACCACCAGTTTTCCCATACTCTTCTCTTACTAAATTAAAATTCGAAATTTTTAGAGGCACTGAAATCTGCCAACTGTGGGAAAGAGTCTTAGGTCAGGAAACATCTTGTTTATTGTATTAATTAACGTTGTGGTGTCCTTTAGCATGTGGGGAAGTAGTGGAAAATCTTTTAAAAAATCCAGTAGAAATGAAAGGATAAAAATGGTTTTCAATTTTGCATTTACACATAAAACCCTGCATTAATTCATTCCCTTTGTTTCCAAGTATTTACAGAGCAAAGTATTTTGTTTGTATCTGGATAATTAAAATAATAAAGACTAGATTTTTGCTAGGCTCTTGATTCCAGGTCCTTCAGAAAGACAGGACTTTCTTCTTTTCTGGAGTGGCCCACCGTGAGAGGGGCAGATCTGTGGTGGGTCTGCTTGTTTCCCCCAGCTCAGCCGCCTCACGTTTGAGTTCAAACCAGTGGATGAGAGGGTCACATTCCTTCGCCCTCCGGTAGGGGGCATGACTCTGAATCTTGTCTTGGCCTATGGGCAGAATGTTGGTAAAGAGTACCAGGCATTCTTAGTGTCCCCGAGGGGGGTTTTAGGTAGAGCCCCACTCAGGGATTCCAACATTCTGCTGGAGGACTTCAATGCCTATGTAGGAAATGACAGTGACACCTGGAGGGGCCTGATCGTGAAGAACGGACCCCCAGCTCTGAACATGAGAAGTGTTTCATTATTGGATAGTGGAAGTCATGGACTGTCTATAATTGACACTATGTTCAATTATAAGAATGCCGATTGGTGCACTTGGTATCAGGACACCCTAAGCTGGAGGTCAATGATTGACTTTGTAGTCGATCTTCCGACCTTCGGCCACATATCTTGGACACTTGAGGGAAAAGAGGGGGGCAGCTGTCAACAAATTACCACCTTGTGGTGAGGAGGATACGCTGAAAGAGGATGAGGCCAGACAGACACGGCAGGTCTAAGCAATTGGGGGGGTCTATTGAGAACATCTAGCAGAGTCCTCACTTAAGGATGTATTCAACTCCCAACTCAGGGAGAGCTTTTCTCAGATCCAGGGGATGCTGCGGAGATGACAGATGAGTTGACAGTATTCTCTACCTGTATTGTTGATGCCACTGTCAATAGCTGAGTTGGTAAGGTCTGTGCTGCCTAATGTGGTGGCAATCCCAAGAGATGTTGTCAGGCTGAAGAAGGAGTCCTATTGAGCCAGGTTTGCTTATGGGAATCCTGATGGAGCAAGCAGGTATTGTGAAGCCAAGCATGTCGCTGTGTGCATGATTGCGGAATCTAAACTTGGTTCTGGGAGGAGATCGGAGAGACCATTGAAAAGGACTACAGGTTGGCCTCAAAGAGATTTTGGTAAATTGTCAGGTGTCCCCTCAGAGGGGGGAGTAGTGCTTCTCTAACACTGTTTTTAGTGGGAGCATGGAGATATTGACCCTGAACGAGGACATTGTTTTACGGCGGAAAGAATACTTTGAGGATCTCCTCAACCTGGCTGAAAAACCTTTCAAAGTAGAAGAAGAGAAGTAGCGCTCGGGGCTAGACTTGTTCCTCAACATGGCTTAGGTCATCAACTTGGCAAAAAAAAAAAAAAGGTTACCTTTAGATTTATGTAAGGCCAGATTCAAAGGCCGATTACTTGATTACTTGCGGAGCCAAGGTATGGTCGGATTCCCAGACTCCTCGTTATGCAGCCTACGAGTACGTCCTTCTTTTTACCCGATTTAAAGGACGGGTACTTTGTAGACTTGGTTATCCCAGGATTCATTGCGAATCGAACCAAGCCAGCTGCTCCTTGATCAGAGGAAAAAGGTACTTGGCGCCGAACAGTGGTGAATATCGGAAGTTCAGTTTAATATAATACGCGTATGTGAATAGTTCCATCTGAAATGAATGATAATAGTTGTTTTAATGGTTTTTGAGTCAGATATGTGGCAGGTAATGTTTGATTTATCCAAAGGTTTTCATCTGTTAGTGTGTAAATGGGTTTGGCTGTGATTTAAGGACAGATTCTAATATATTTGCAGTGTGGGGAAAATAAATCTAAGTTGATTTTTATTTTTTATTTGCTATTATGCACAATTTGCTAAACTAAGTATTTTTTGTTGTTGACTATATGATATTCTGCAGATATATTTTTTATACATACATTTATTAGATTTACTTATATCTGTCTACCCCTTTTATAGAATATAATAGAATATAAAATCCCTTTATTGTCCCACAATGAGAAAATTCTGATGTTAACAGCAGCAAAAAAATTACAGAAAAAAATGGTCACACAAATGTGGACCTTAGAAACGTTTATAAGAATAACATAATAGTAAATCCATCCATCCATCCATCTTCCTCCGCTTATCCAGGGTCGGGTCGCGGGGGCAGCAGCTTAAGAAGGGAGGCCCAGACTTCCCTCTCCCCAGCCACTTCTTCCAGCTCTTCAGGAGGAACCCCAAGGCGTTCCCAGGCCAGCCGAGAAACATAGTCTCTCCAACGTGTCCTGGGTCTTCCCCGGGGCCTCCCCCCAGTGGGACGTGCCCGGAACACCTCACCAGGGAGGCGTCCAGGAGGCATCCTAAACAGATGCCCAAGCCACCTCAACTGGCTCCTCTCGACGTGGAGGAGCAGCGGCTCTACTCCGAGTCCCTCCCGGATGACCGAGCTTCTCACCCTATCTCTAAGGGAGAGCCCAGCCACCCTACGGAGGAAACCCATTTCGGCCGCTTGTATCCGCAATCTCGTTCTTTCGGTCATGATCCAGAGTTCATGACCATAGATGAGGGTAGGAACGTAGATCGACCGGTAAATCGAGAGCTTTGCTTTTTGACTCATAATAGTAAATAATTAAAAGATAAACAATAAAATACTGTACTGTAAAGTATTTTAACAATATAAGAAACTGCACCTGGAGAACAAATAACCAATATCCAGCTCTGGACATTTTTACAGTGATGGGTACTTGAAAATAGCAGCAACATCAGAGATGTGCAAAATGACAGCATTATGTTATATAACTGACTAAGGTTCATATTATTACATCTGCTTTCATTTGTTCATGCTCCTGGTCAGGGGCGGATCTAGAAAAATATTTATGGGGTGGCAAGAGGGGGGCAGGAATTTTTTAGGGGTGGCAACATATAGCATTTGTTTACACTGAATTTAATCACAGTTATCACAGTTTGGTGAGAATAGTATGTACAGTACTAGTGTTTCATGTGAAACAGTTCATATTAATAATACATCGTACATTGTGATCTCACTTAATAGGAGATAGAAGAATGATTACACTACTTCTAGAGGGGCCTTATGACAGGAAAGGTATTAAGGTAAGACACAGGTGCTGAGTAGTAGATGCGTGAGATTGACTGTCAGAGAGGCAGCTTTGCAGCATTTGCACAAGAAGAAACTATAGAAAGAAAAACGTACCTATCAGAGATCTATGGACTGAGCTGTACTAAAGTGAGCAGAACTACACAGTAGAAATAAATGGGTCAAGGCACCCGAACAAGGTACTGGACATCTATGTAATGTTTACTCTGAACACACATTTACCCCATTTGTTCCTCAGTAACTTGACATACAGCAGTTAAGGCAACATGAAAGGGACATTTCATGCATGTAAATATGCTGTAGATAGAGCTGCATATGGAGGACCAACTCTGCCATATTTAAAAATAAATACAGAAATAAATAAATGCTCAATAAATAAATAAGCATACAATTAATTGCCACCAAAAACACAATCAACAAATAAATGTAATTAGAAATTATATTATAATGGCAGGCAGAAATGTAAAGAGGGCAGGCAGAAAGAAATAGCGGCGAAGAAATAACTAGGGTAAAAAAATACAAAGGAAGAATAAAACAGACAAAAATATGATAACATGCACATAAATAAATACTTAAAAATATAAGTAATTAAAAAATGAAGTTGAAGATAATAAATGACAAAAAAATAAATAAGGTAAATATTAAAAAGGCAAAGAAATAAAGAAGCCAATTAAAAGAGTTATATACCTTTATGACTAGCTGATAATTTAATTTCTACTTACATTTATTTGTTGTTTGTATTTTTGGTGGCAATTAATTGTATGCTTATTTTATTTATTAAGCATTTATTTATTTCTGTATTTATTTTTAAATATGGCAGAGTTGGTCCTCCATACTGCTGTATCAACAAAAAGGCGGGTTCTGTATGTTACATCAAAATCTCCACAAATCTGAAAAGAAGCAACATAAAAATACATTTTGCTTGTGAGTAGGTTCATACGGGTCATTTCTGGATAGTTTCATATTATATATACAAAAAAGAAACAACAACACTGATTCATATTAAGCAGGATTCACACCAGTATCACATTTTTAACTTTTAACACTTTTGGTTTTATTAAAGGAAATATCAGATTTTCTCAGGTGCCAAAACAAAATGTAACAGCTCTGTAAAGGCTCACCAGAGAGCAGAACATAAAGTTAACATGACTATAACAGCTGAATGCAGCGATTTCCATGTTGCTCAGCAAAACGCTTCACAACTTTATTTAGATCCAATGCCTTTGTGCGTTCTGATTTGAGTAAAACCAAACTTGATAGTCTCTTTTCTGTCATAGTTGACCGCAAATATGTCTTTATGAGCCTGAGACGTCAGGCCTAACTAACATCATAGTTAGAGAAATAACGTTCTGCAACCTGATTTTTATCATCTCAAAATCAGCATTGCAGCTATGCTAGCAACATTGTGCTTTCATTATGATTTAATTTCTCGATAGATAGTTAATCAGTTTTTACCTGTTTCATCCCGTGTCTCCTCTCCCCATGACCCCTGGCTCCCTCGCTTTGCCCC